ATCTAGAAGATATGAGAAGAGAAAAAAAGGAAAGAACTGTCTCCAGATGGTTTGAGGTGATTCGAAAAGTTAGAGCGAGAGAAGATGGAATTAAGGGAGACAGGTATATCTGGAGGGCAGTAGGGGAGATTTTAAATATATCTTTAAATCGGAACCCTTTTGGTATTTTTGAAAGGATTCAATAAATAATTTGAATTTATTTTCAATTTCAATTACTTTTTAATATTGGACAGGATGAAACACTGAACTGAGATGGGCTACAAAATGCCCCACCTTTATATGGGTTACAGCTGGTATTTTAAAACGAAACTGAGACTTGGCTAGTTTAAAAACTTTCAGTCATTTGTTGAATACATACGTGTGTGTGTGTGTGTGTGTGTGTGTGTGTGTGTGTGTGTGTGTTGCATGTGTGTACGTTTTTTCATAGAAAATTGAAACAGAGAGAAAAAACCAGAGACTGAGACAGAGTTTCATACTTTAATTTCTGGAAATATGACAGAATAGATACTCTGAAATAAATAACCTTAAAAAGATACTTAGCTGAACTGACAAGAGGTTAGCAAAACTCTGAGAGTCCAAGAACAATAAGAAAGAAGGAAGGAATGGAAAATCTGAATACAGTAAGTCCCCTACATATGAACCTTCAAGTTGCAAACTTTCAAAGATGTGAATGTGTGTTTGCATGTCCAATCACATAAGTTAGTTCACATGTCTGGTGTACATTGTCATGTACTGTATTGTAAGACTAAAAATATTTTCTTTATTTATTTTTGGTTTTTTGTTTTGTTTTTATTTTTCTTTATTTTTGTTTGTTTTTACTTGTTATTGGTGTGAAAAGTATTATAAACCTATTACAGTATAGTACTATATAGCCGATTGTGTTAGTTGTGTACCTAGGTTAACTTTGTTGGACTTACAAACAAATTGGACTTGCAGATGCACTCTTGAAATGGAACTCGTTTGTATGTAGGGGACTTACTGTAGTTTCACAGCCCCTAGGGTAATTGAGTGAGGATTTTAAAAGCTTATAACAAAGACAACAGGACCAGATGATTCTACAGACAAATTTTACAAAATATTTAAAGTGCAGATAATTCCAATAATGCACAAACTCTCCAAGGGATAAAATCTGAGGGAGTGCTCTTCAAATCATTTCATGAAGCTGACATTACCTTGCTATAAGGACCAGACAAGGACAGCAAGTGAAAGACTAATTAATCATATTCATGAAAATTTTTGCAAGAATCATAAGCAATATATTAACCAACCAAATACAGCAATGTACAAAAAATATAATATACCATGACCAAGTTTGGATTACCTGAAGAGAGCAAATTTATTTTAATGTTAGGTAACCTATTTATGTCATTTACTAACATTAAGAGATTAAAAGAAAAAAGCATATAGTATCTTAATAGTTCAGAATTCAACATCCATTTATGTTTCTAAAAACTCAACAATTTCATAAACTAGAAAGAGAAAGGAGATTCCCTAATTCTGTGAAGAGAATCTACAAAACACTTTCATTAAACAGCCTGGTTACCAGTGAAACTTTATGAGGCAATCTATGTAAGGCCAGGACAAGACAAGGATGTCTGCCACCACCATTTCTATTCAAGACTGTTGTAGAGGTGCTAGTTTGCAAAAAGGTAAGAAAAAGATGTCGAAATTATAAGGATTGGAAATGAAAAAACTCATTATATTACTTCCAAATATTACTTAAGTTCATTACCCATGAGTCCTACAGGGAGGATTTCAGTGCTCTCCTCCCTGACTTTGGGCTTGACCATGTTACATGCTCTGGTTAATGAGACATGTTAATGTGATTGTGTATGATTGACTTGGCTTGTTTTTGCTTCTGCATGACTGTGAGAACAACTTGTCCTTGATAGTGGCCACTAATTCAGCTTGGGTCCCAGAATGATAAGACATGTAGAGGCCGGCCAAGCCCAGCAACCCTCAGAAAAATTGCAGTCTGCCACAATTTTAATCTAATGCAAGAAAAAAATATTTTTCACGAACTACTGGGCAAAAGCTCCTTGATAAATACATTGGTGATATGAACATCTACAAAGAAAACCCAAAAGAAGCTACAGGTGAATCATTAAAATTAATAAAAGATTAGCAGTGTTCAACATCTTTCTGGCTGGGTGTGGTGGCTCACGACTGGAATCTCAACACTTTTTGAGGTCAACGTGGGCAGATTGCTTGAGCCCCGGAGTTAGATGGGCAGGTTGCTTGAGCCTTGGAGTTTGAGACCAATCTGGGCAACATATCGATATATCGAAACCTCATCTCTACAAAAAAATAAAAATAAAATTAGCTGGGTGTGTTGGTACACACCTGTAGTCCCAGCTACTTGAGATGCTGAGGTGGAAGGATCACCGAGCACAGGAGGTGAAGGCTGCCATGAGCTATAATCATTGTGATTATACCACTGCACTCCAGCCTGGGGAATGGAGTTAGACCCCTGATTCAAAAAAAGAAAAAAATAATATTTATATCACGTTTTTAATTTCCAGCAGTAAACTGTTCAAAACGTAATTGTAAAATGCTACTTGCACTTGCAATAGAGTACCATTAAAAATATACAACTGGGCTTGGTGGCTCAGCCTGTAATCCCAGCACTTTGGGAGGCCGAGGCGAGTGGATTGCCGGAACCCGTGGGTTCGAGACCTGCCCAGGCAACTTGGTGAGACCTCATCTCTACAATAATTCAAAAATGGGCCAGGCATGGTAGCACGCGTCTGTAGTTTCAGCCACTTGGAAGGCTGAAGCGGAAGGAACGCCGGAGCCCAGCAGATTGAGGCTGTGGTGGCCGGGAGCGTGCCACTGCACTCCAGTCTGGGC